ATTTCGTATGTTGTGGTAAATAAAGAGGACAGGCTGGCCCATCATTTGAGCGTGCACCTTGCACGTCGACTCTTCCCTCTGTACACTCTGAGGTGTACTCGGCTCTACTGTAACTTGTGAGCTAATGTCCAGGACTAGAGTACTGATGGTGGCTGGCCGGTAAGTCTTTGTGGTGGCCTCAACTCTTTAGCGTAAGATAAGACTTAATCTTGAGGTTATCTTGAGATGATTTCGGGGCTTTAGTGTCCCCGCGGCCCAGTCCTCGACCAGGCCTCCACCCCCAGGAAGCAGCCCGTGACAGCTGACTAACTCCCAGGTACCTATTTACTGCTAGGTAACAGGGGCATTCAGGGTGAAAGAAACTTTGCCCATTTGAGTCCTGCGCGCTATCCACCAGGCTACGAGGCCCCCGTAGCCCCCGTAATCACCCCAACTCTATCACCGCTCGGCCGAGCGTCCCCGGCCGAGCGTCCCTGGCCAAGTGCAAAATCCTCGCTTTCAATTCATTTCATGTTTCGTGTTTTATTAGTTTTCATGATATATTCTCTGTTTTACAGACAGTGACAACAAGAAAAGTGTTTCTGTTGCACAGTTAAAATTTGAGAATCTTCCTGTATTAGAGTTAAAATCTGGGATGTTATCTGATTCACAAGGAGTGACAACAAGAGAATTTCTCTGTATTAAGAACTGTGACAGCATGGGAATTTTTCAACCGAAAACAGTCCTTGAACTTACAATAGAACCGAATTAACTTATAGGAATTCCCCCAACCTTCAGGAGGATCTCCAACCTACAAAAGTCCCCAACTCCTGGAGTGTCCGGGACTACTTACAGAAGTCCCCCTAACTAACTGGAGTCCTTCAACCTAAAACAGTCCTCAAACCCTGCAGGAGTTCCCCTCACCCCAAGAAAAAGGTGTCCCCCCATACCCATAGGAGTCCTCTCTTTCCACCGGAGTCCCTCAGACTATAGGAGCCCACTAGCATACATGAGTCCCCTCAACCAACATGAGTCCCCAACTAAATGATTCTTCCAACCAACACGAGTACCAAACCAACACGAGTACCCAACCAACACGAGTACCCAACCAACACGAGTACCCAGCCAACACGAATACCCAAGCTACCCAAGTACACAACCTACTCAAGTACCCAACCTACACCAGTACCCAACCTACTCAAGTACCCAACCTACACCAGTACCCAACCTACTCAAGTACCCAACCTACACCAGAACCCAACCTACACAAGTACCCAACCTACACAAGTACCCAACCTACACAAGTACCCAACCTACTCAAGTACCCAACCTACTCAAGTACCCAACCTACACCAGTACCCAACCTACAAGAGTACCCAACCTACACAAGTACCCAACCTACACAAGTACCCAACCTATTCAAGTACCCAACCTACTCAAGTACCCAACCTACACCAGTACCCAACCTACTCAAGTACCCAACCTACAAAAGTACCCAACCTACACAAGTACCCAACCTACACAAGTACCCAACCTACACGAGTACCCAACCTACACAAGTACCCAACCTACAAGAGTACCCAACCTACACGAGTACCCAACCTACACAAGTATCCAACCTACTCAAGTACCCAACCTACTCAAGTACCCAACCTACACAAGTACCCAACCTACTCAAGTACCCAACCTACACAAGTACCCAACCTACACCAAGTACCCAACCTACACGGGTACCCAACCTACACGGGTACCCAACCTACACAAGTACCCAACCTACACGGGTACCCAACCTACACGGGTACCCAACCTACACGGGTACCCAACCTACACGGGTACCCAACCTACACGGGTACCCAACCTACACGGGTACCCAACCTACACGGGTACCCAACCTACACGGGTACCCAACTTACACAAGTACCCAACCTACACGGGTACCCAACCTACACGGGTACCCAACCTACACGGGTACCCAACCTACACAAGTACCCAACCTACTCAAGTACCCAACCTACACGGGTACCCAACCTACACGGGTACCCAACCTACACCAGTACCCAACCTACACAAGTACCCAACCTACTCAAGTACCCAACCTACACGGGTACCCAACCTACACCAGTACCCAACCTACACGGGTACCCAACCAACACGGGTACCCAACCTACACCAGTACCCAACCTACACAAGTACCCAACCTACACAAGTACCCAACCTACTCAAGTACCCAACCTACACGGGTACCCAACCTACACCAGTACCCAACCTACACAAGTACCCAACCTACACAAGTACCCAACCTACTCAAGTACCCAACCTACATGGGTACCCAACCTACACAAGTACCCAACCTACACAAGTACCCAACCTACTCAAGTACCCAACCTACATGGGTACCCAACCTACACCAGTACCCAACCTACACGGGTACCCAACCTACACAAATTCCCAACCTACTCAAGTACCCAACCTACATGGGTACCCAACCTACACCAGTACCCAACCTACATCAGTACCCAACCTACACAAGTACCCAACCTACACGGGTACCCAACCTACACAAGTTCCCAACCTACTCAAGTACCCAACCTACATGGGTACCCAACCTACACCAGTACCCAACCTACATCAGTACCCAACCTACACAAGTACCCAACCTACACAAGTACCCAACCTACTCAAGTACCCAACCTACATGGGTACCCAACCTACACCAGTACCCAACCTTCACGAGTCCCCCCCCCACCATAAAGGAGAACCCCACAACTATCTTCTTGAGGTTATCTTGAGATGATTTCGGGGCTTAGCATCCCCGCGGCCCGGTCCTCGACCAGGCCTCCTTTTTGTTACACATCCCCAAGACGAAGTCCGTAGGAGCTGTCTATCTCCCAGGTACCTATTTACTGCAAAGTGAACAGGTACATCAGGGTGAAAGAAACTCAGCGCATTTGTTTCCACCTCCGTCGGGGATCGAACCTCCGCCCGGAACCTTAGGACGACCAATCCCGAGCGCCGTCCTCTCAGCCGTCAAGCCCCCATTCCGATATCCAATCCGTTCTCGCACTTCGGTATAGTCAATATTGACTTATTAAATACGCGCATATGTGACATACTAATTTATTGTGAATATTTTAGTTTACCTTGAAAAGCTTTATAGAAAACACCGACCTTACCTAACCTTCTTAGTATGTTAAGATAAGCATCTTATTGCTACGTAATTATAATTATTACTTAACCTATTATAGCTATAGGTTAAGTAATAATTGTAATTACGAAGCAATAAGATGCTTATCTTAACATACTAAGAAGGTTAGGTAAGGTCGGTGTTTTCTACGAAGCTTTTCAAGGTAAACTAAAATATTCAAAATAATTTAGTATGTCACATATGAACATATTTAATAAGTCAATATTGACTGTAAGAAAGTGCGAGAACGTGTTGCTATATCTCACCTACAGAAACTTCAGGAATCTCACAAACAACAGGAGTCCCCAAGCCTACAGGAGTCCCCAAGCTTACAGGAGTCCCCAAGCTTACAGGAGTCCCCAAGCTTACAGGAGTCTTCAAGCTTACAGGAGTCCCAAGCCTACAGGAGTCCCCAAGCTTACAGGAGTCCCCAAGCTTACAGGAGTCTTCAAGCTTACAGGAGTCCCAAGCCTACAGAAGTCACCAAGCCTTCAAGAGTCCCCAAGCCTACAGGAATCCCCAAGCCAACAGGAGTCCCCAAGCCTACAGGAGTCCCCAAGTCTAGAGGAATCCCCAAACTTACAGGAGTCCCCAAGCCTAGAGGAATCCCCAAGCTTACAGGAGTCCCCAAGCTTACAGGAGTACCCAAGCCTAGAGGAATCCCCAAGCTTACAGGAGTCCCCAAGCCTCCAGGGTTCCCCAAGCCTACAGGAGTCCCCAAGCCTACAGGAGTCCCCAAACCTGCAGGAGTCCCCAAGCCTTCAGGAGTCCCCAAGCCTACAGGAGTCCCCAAGCTAACAGGAGTTCCCAAGCCTACAGGAGTCCCCAAGTCTACAGGAGTCTTCAAGCCTACAAGAGTCCCCAAGTCTGGAGGAGTCCCCAAGCTTACAGGAGTCTCAAGCCTACAAGAGTCCCCAAGTCTACAGGAGTCTTCAAGCCTACAGGAGTCCCCAAGCTTACAGGAGTCACCAAGCCTAGAGGAAACCCCAAGCCTACAAGAGTCCCCAAGTCTAGAGGAGTCCCCAAGTCTAGAGGAGTCCCCAAGCTTACAGGAGTCTCAAGCCTACAGTAGTCCCCAAGTCTACAGGAGTCTTCAAGTCTACAGGAGTCCCCAAGCCTACAGGAGTCCCCAAGTCTACAGGAGTCTTCAAGCCTACAGTAGTCCCCAAGCTTACAGGAGTCCCCAAACTTACAGGAGTCCCCAAGCCTACAGGAGTCCCCAAGCTTACAGTAGTCCCCAAGCTTACAGTAGTCCCCAAGTCTACAGGAGTCCCCAAGCCTACAGGAGTCCCCAAGCTTACAGGAGTCCCCAAGCCTACAGGAGTCCCCAAGCTTACAGGAGTCCCCAAGCTTACAGTAGTCCCCAAGTCTACAGGAGTCTTCAAGTCTACAGGAGTCCCCAAGCCTACAGGAGTCTCCAAGCTTACAGGAGTCCCCAAGCCTACAGGAGTCCCCCAAACCTACAGGAGTCCCCAAGCTTACAGGAGTCCCCAAACTTACAGGAGTTCCCAAGCTTACAGGAGTCCCCAAGCCAACAGGAGTCCCCAAGCCTATAGGAGTCCCCAAGCCTAGAGGAGTCCCCAAGCCTACAGGAGTCCCCAAGCTTACAGGAGTCCCCAAGCCTACAGGAGTCCTCAAGCCTAGAAGAGTCCCCAAGCCTAGAGGAGTCCCAAAGCCTACAGGAATCCCCAAGCCTACAGGAGTCCTCAAGCCTAGAAGAGTCCCCAAGCTTACAGAAGTCCCTAAGCCTAGAAGAGTTCCCATGTTTACTGGAGTCTCCCAACCCTACAGGAGTCCCCAAGCTTACAGGAGTAAGCTTGGGGAAAAATTGTCATAGCATAGCATGGATTTAGAACAGGAAGATCCTGTCTGTCACAGTTTCTCAACCACTATGAGAAAATCACAGAAGCCCTAGAAATTGAAATTGAAATTAAAATAAGTTTATTGAGGTAAAATACACACAAAGGGATGAGGTAGCTCAAGCTATTCTCACCCCATTCAGTACAACGTGTTAATACATACATAGACACACATCACAAATAAACATATTACCAAACATTCTGAGAGATAAACATATACATTTCCTCCTTCACAAGTATTATGTTATCAGACGTACACACAAATACTTTTATGAGAAGCCCTAGAAGAAAAACAAAATGCAGATGTTCTATACACAAACTTTGCAAAGGCGTTCGACAAATGGGACCATGGGGTGATAGCTCAATGGGAATAACTGGAAAAGTAGGACGCTGGATACTCAATTTCCTGTCGAACAGAACACAAAGAGTAACAGTCAATCAGATAAAATCGAGTCCACGCGATGTTAAAAGCTCTGCACCTCAAGGTACAGTCCTTGCACCGCTACTGTTCCTTATTCTCATATCTGATATAGACAAAAATACACGTCACAGCTTCGTGTCGTCCTTTGCAGATGACACAAAAATCAGCATGAAAATTACCTCTGCTGAAGACATTGAAAAACTACAAGCAGATATCAACAAAGTTTTCGATTGGGCAGCAGAAAATAACATGATGTTTAACAGTGATAAATTTCAGGTACTCAGGTAAGGCAAAAATGAGGATATGAAACCTAATACAGGGTACAAAACACAATCGAATCTTCCCATAGTAGAAAAAAGCATGTCAAGGATTTGGGAATAATGATGTCCGACGATCTAACGTTTAAGGAGCATAACCAAGCAAATATCACGTCAGCCAGAAAAAAGATCGGATGGATTACGAGAACTTTCAATTCCAGGGATCACATCACAATGTTTGTACTCTTCAAGTCACTTGTGTTGTCCCGTCTCGAGTACTGCTCAGTACTCACTTCCCCCTTCAGAGCAGGAGAGATTGCTGAAATAGAGGAAATACAGAGAACATATACGGCACGCATAGACGAGATAAAGCCCCTAAATTATTGGGCTCGTCTCAAAACTCTCCAAATGTATTCTCTAGAAAGGAGACGAGAGAGATACCAAATAATATACACATGGAAAATACTGGAGGGCCAGGTCCCAAACCTACACAGTAAAATAACAACGTACTGGAGTGAACGATATGGAAGAAAATGCAAGATTGAACCCGTGAAGAGCAGAGGTGCCATAGGCACAATCAGAGAGCACTGTATAAACATCAGAGGTTCGCGGATGTTCAACATCCTCCCATCGAATATAAGAAATATTGCCGGAACAACCGTGGACATCTTCAAGAGAAAACTGGACTGTTTTCTAAGAGAAGTTCCGGACCAACCGGGCTGTGGTGGGTATGTGGCCCTGCGGGCCGTTCCAAGCAACAGCCTGGTGGACCAAACTCTCACAAGTCAAGCCTGGCCTCGGGCCGGGCTTGGGGAGTAGAAGAACTCCCAGAACCCCATGAAGCAGGTATCATAGCAGGATTGCTGGTTGAGAGGCGGGGCTTAGGAGCTAACAGTGGGCCCAGCACGTACATGTAGGCGGGTCCACACACACACACTGACCCGCTGCCACCCGCTGCTCTCTTGTCATATATGTCTCCATTTAGGCGGGTCAGGCCAGGAGAGGCAATCTCTTGTTTTTAGGATCGAGAAGCGCTCATGAACTCCTTCTGAACTACGAGATAATATTTAATATATTATATAATATAATATAATATAATAGGTTATATAATATAACCATACTCAGGTTATGCTTGTCCAAGCTGCGGCCGACGCCATAGACACCTTTATAATTGTGAACATAATGTGTATATAAAATCCTTCTTCTCACGTTAATATTATTATATATTACATTTTTTGTGTGTAGTTAGCGGTGTTGGGTGTTCCCCCGGCCCTCAGTCATCACTTGGCCACCCTAGAGTCACCCCGGCCCTCAGTCATCACTTGGCCACCCTAGAGTCACCCCGGCCCTCAGTCATCACTTGGCCACCCTAGAGTCACCCCGGCCCTCAGTCCCGGCCCTCAGTCATCACTTGGCCACCCCAGAGTCACCCCGGCCCTCAGTCATCACTTGGCCACCCTAGAGTCACCCCGGCCCTCAGTCATCACTTGGCCACCCTAGAGTCACCCCGGCCCTCAGTCATCACTTGGCCACCCTAGAGTCACCCCGGCCCTCAGTCATCACTTGGCCACCCCAGAGTCACCCCGGCCCTCAGTCATCACTTGGCCACCCTAGAGTCACCCCGGCCCTCAGTCATCACTTGGCCACCCCAGAGTCACCCCGGCCCTCAGTCATCACTTGGCCACCCCAGAGTCACCCCGGCCCTCAGTCATCACTTGGCCACCCCAGAGTCACCCCGGCCCTCAGTCATCACTTGGCCACCCCAGAGTCACCCCGGCCCTCAGTCATCACTTGGCCACCCCAGAGTCACCCCGGCCCTCAGTCATCACTTGGCCACCCCAGAGTCACCCCGGCCCTCAGTCATCACTTGGCCACCCCAGAGTCACCCCGGCCCTCAGCCATCACTTGGCCACCCCAGAGTCACCCCGGCCCTCAGTCATCACTTGGCCACCCCAGAGTCACCCCGGCCCTCAGTCATCACTTGGCCACCCCAGAGTCACCCCGGCCCTCAGCCATCACTTGGCCACCCCAGAGTCACCCCGGCCCTCAGTCATCACTTGGCCACCCCAGAGTCACCCCGGCCCTCAGTCATCACTTGGCCACCCCAGAGTCACCCCGGCCCTCAGTCATCACTTGGCCACCCCAGAGTCACCCCGGCCCTCAGTCATCACTTGGCCACCCCAGAGTCACCCCGGCCCTCAGTCATCACTTGGCCGCCCCAGAGTCACCCCGGCCCTCAGTCATCACTTGGCCACCCCAGAGTCACCCCGGCCCTCAGTCATCACTTGGCCACCCTAGAGTCACCCCGGCCCTCAGCCATCACTTGGCCACCCCAGAGTCACCCCGGCCCTCAGTCATCACTTGGCCACCCCAGAGTCGCCCCGGCCCTCAGCCATCACTTGGCCACCCCAGAGTCACCCCGGCCCTCAGCCATCACTTGGCCACCCCAGAGTCACCCCGGCCCTCAGTCATCACTTGGCCCCCTCAGAGTCACCCCGGCCCTCAGTCATCACTTGGCCACCCCAGAGTCACCCCGGCCCTCAGTCATCACTTGGCCACCCCAGAGTCACCCCGGCCCTCAGTCATCACTTGGCCACCCCAGAGTCACCCCGGCCCTCAGCCATCACTTGGCCACCCCAGAGTCACCCCGGCCCTCAGTCATCACTTGGCCCCCCCAGAGTCATCCCGGCCCTCAGTCATCACTTAGTCACCCCCAGAAGGCCGACTCATCATTGTACTGGACACTGAAAGTGTTCTCCAATATGATGATATATTAACATTGTACATATTAAGGCGAAGGTTTGGTTTAAGTGTTTGTGTTGTCAGATATTTGTGTCTGTAAACAGAAGGTGAAGCATTTACTGAGTTGCCTTCAAACAGTGATCGTTAGTGAAGTATTTTGTGAGAACTGTTTGGACGCCAATAGTTGAGAGTCGAGAGTAAAGCGTTTTGTGTTCGTAAACATGAGGATTGGGCGGCTTTTGTTGATAATTACGGACTATTGCATTTTGCGAGGGTCGTTAAAGCGGCGGCCGACCCCTAAAAGACGTATTTATTTATTTTTAAGATTTGTGTATTCAGAACAGGTATTTATTATTTATAAATGAATTCTTATATATAGGTCTATGAATAGTTAAGCGTAGGTCAGGTTAGGTGTTTAGGTTCTGTTGGCGATTATTTGTTTTTGTAGTACGTGGGTGAAGCATTTACAGCGTTGTGGTTCGAACAAAATTCGTCAGTGAAGCACTTGTTCCGGAAGTGTTCGGACGTCAACAGTTCGTAATTCGACCCCCAGCCAAGGGTCGAATTACAGACCCCCCCCCCCCACCTCTGGATGCAACTCCACAACAAGCTGACTAACTCCTGGGTACCCACTTTCTGCTAGGTGAATAGGGGCTAGGTAATAGGGGCTAAGTAATAGGGGTTAGGTAATAGGGGCTAGGTAATAGGGGCTAGGTAATAGGGGGCTAAGTAATATGGGCTAGGTAATATGGGCTAGGTAATAGGGGCTAGGTAATATGGGCGAGGTAATATGGGCTAGGTAATAGGGGCTAGGTAATATGGGCTAGGTAATAGGGGCTAGGTAATATGGGCTAGATAATAGGGGCTAGGTAATAGGGGCTAGATAATAGGAAATGCGCCCAAATATTTCTGCCCCACCCAGGATTCAAATCCGGAATTCTCGATTGTGAGTCGAGAACGAACCTGTCTGTTCTCCCGTGACCATTTTGTTTTGTTTTTTGTTATTTTTACATGCGAGCATGCGTATAAGTACAATAAAAGCAACACAGAAAACAAACGAGAACAAAACAAGTAGAGCATAAAAGTACAAAATTACAAAAGTACAAACTCGCAAAAGTACCAAATAATAAAAGGTCTAATTACAAAACACCGGCCTGAAGGGCCGACAATAAAAACAAACAACAATAATGACAAGCATAACAATAACTACAAACACAGGAAAATAGTACAGAAATGACACCATTGCGACACATAGCACCCAAACCCTCACCCAGCAACCCAAACACCAGAACATAATTATACAAAACCAGCCCTACTGGCCCCGTAAACTACAACCACACACAGAGAGGCACCAATACATAATGATAATAAAAACAAGAAAGGGAATACAAATATATATCAGAAACAAAAAGAAAACTACAACCACAACACATGATAAGAAGAACAAAAACAAGCTGGGCCACGCTAGCAGCCCGCAGGGCACGCAACACCACACAGACAAGCGCACAACCATTACAATAAAAAAAATAAAAACATAATAACGGGACATCCACAACCA